GCTTACTTAATATAATTTTTTCCAAGTTTTTCCATTTCCTAACAAATGGGGCAATGTCATTCTTTCTGATGGAGGCATAGAATTCCATTGTGTATATATAAAAGTTCATGTTTAAAGCACATCTAATTTTAACATTCAGTTCTAGATTTAATGGTAGGAATGAGCATAATAGGATGGTTGAATAGATATAATTGCCCTCATTATTTTAATTAATTTTCTTCTGGCCTGCTGGGAGTATAGGTATGATTAAAGTTTGAAGTTGACAGAGTAAAGTTTTCAGTGTATGTGTGTTTGTGTTTAAGAGGTAAGAATCTGTTAGATAATGAAGTACTTCCTTATAAAAGTCGAGAGGGCCAGATGCCAGAGGCCCTCATGCCTGTAATCCTAGCCACTCAGGAGGCTGAGATTTGAGGATCACAGTTGGAATCTAGCCTGGGCCATAAAGTTTGAGACTCTTATCTCCAGTTAAGCACCAAAACTGAATGGTGCTGTGCCTCAAGTGGTAGAGTGCTAGCGGTGAGCACTAAAGCTCAGGGGCAGTGCCTACACCCTGAGTTCAAGCCTCAGGACTGGCACAGGAAAAAAAGGAAGAATAAGGAGAGGATCGCTGTATATTTGTTACCTAATGGTTGACTATTAAATTTTGGTTCATACAGAGAATATTTCATTTAAGTCTTTGAAATGACAAGACTCACAGAAATAGAAAAATGTCAGATCATGGCTTTGGTTATATTTCTAACAGATTTCAGTTTATTTTCAGGATTGTGCAGTCTGTGAAAATTTTCAGGAGTTTTTATCTTTAAATGGACACCTTCTTGGACGACAGCCATTTCCTAATATTGTACAACTGGGTCTTTGTGAACCAGAGACTTCAGAAGTTTATCAGCAAGCAAAGCTGCAGGCCAAGCAGGAGGTTGATAAAGGAATGCTTTACCTGGAGTGGATGTAAGTAGGTTATGAGGGAAATCAAAGGGAGTGGATTGCTAACTATGTCATTATTTTTTAGGTACTGAATAAGTTCACTCCAGGAAGCAGGAAGATTTAACTACTTTGGAAAGGGCTGGAACTTTTTTCTTTCTTTCTTTTTTTGTTGGTTGTGGGGCCTGAACTCTTGGGCCTGGGCGCTGTCCCTCAGCTCTTTAGCTCAAGGCTAGTGCACTACCACTTGAGCCACAGCACCACTTTCGGTTTTCTGAGTGATTTATTGGAGATAAGAGTCCTACAGACTTTTGTGCCCGGCTAGCTTTGAACCACGATCCTCAGATCTCAGCCTCCTAAGTAGCTAGGATTACAGGCGTGAGCCACCGGGGCCAGCAGGGCTGGAACTTTTGTTTGTTTGTTTGTTTTTGGGTCCGATCATGGGGCCTGAACTCTGGGCCTGGGCACTGTCCCTCAGCTCTTCAGCTCAAGGCTAGCACTTGAGCCACAGCGCCACTTCTGGCTTTTTTCTTTTTGCTTATGTGGTGCTGAGGAATCGAACCCAGGGCCTCTGGCATGCAAGGCATGCGCTCTACCACTGAGCCACCTTCCCAGCCCCAGGGCTGGAACTTTTAACAAGCATTCTTAGTGAAAACTTCTATAGAAGTTAGCATAGCAGAAAACAATTATATTTCACAGTTCACAGAAATAAGCCATTTTGACAAATCATCCCAAATATTAATATGCAATGCTTACTGTAATTTATGGTGGCAAAGAGTATGGACTTTAGAAGCACAAACCTGATTTGACTAGCTTTGTGAGTTTGAACAGGTAGTAGATCACTCTCATAAATGTAAAATGGAAAACTACCCTTATTCTTTAAGGTAAGTACTGTTTTTGTGAAGATTTAAATAAGATAATGGTATAAAGTAATTTGTGCTTTCTTGTGAGAGTATTTACTAGTGTTTGAACTTACAGCCTATGCTTAGTAGGCAAGTACTCTACCACTTCAGCCATGTCAGTGGCCCTATTTGTCTTTGGTTTGTTTTTCAGGTAGTGACTTGAGTTTTTTTTGTTCAGGGCTAGCCTTGAACCTTAATCCTTCTATTTCTATTCAAATAGCTAGTAATACTGACATAAATGACCATTCTAAGCTTGATTTTAAGATAGGATCTTGCTCATTTTTCCTGGGCTACACTTGGATTCCAGCCTGCTGCTTATTAATTGTGTATCATTAAATGAAAGTTATTCAACATGTTTTGCCTAATACGAGTACCTTTTTATAGCGTTATTATGAGAACTGAAGAACTCCCTGTGTATATGTATGTCTGTATACACAGTGTTTGAACAGTACCCAGTTGATAGAAAGTGCTTAGCAACTATGTGCAGGTGGTTCATACTGATAATTCTAGCTACTCAGAAGATTGAGATTTGAGGATCAGGGTTTGAAGCCAGCCTGAGCAGGAAAGTCTATGAGACTCTTATCTCCAGTTAACCACCAAAAAGCTAGATGTAGAGCTGTGGCTCAAGTGGTAGAGTACTAGCCTTGAGCAAAAAAACTCAGGGATGCCTAGGTCCTGAGTTCAAGCAATAGGGCTAGTGTGTACACACACACACACACACACATCAAAAAGTAAGCAGCTAACATTTTTTTTTTTTGCCAGTCCTGGGGCTTGAACTCATGGCCTAGGTATTGTTCCTGAACTTCTTTTGCCTAAGGCTAGCTAGCACTCTACCACTTTGAGCCACAGTGCCACTTCCGGCCTTTTCTGTTTATGTGATACTGAGGAATCAAACCCAGAGCTTCATGCATGGTAGGCAAGTACTCTACCACTAAACTACCTTCCCAGCCCCATTTTTTTTGTTGTTGGTGGTGGTGTGGGGCTTGAACTCAGGGCTTAGGTGCTGTCCCCGAGCTCTTTTGCTCAAGGCCAGCACTCTACCACTTTGAGCCACAGTGCCAGTGCTGTGTATGTGTGTGTATATATGTGTGTGTGTGTGTGTGTGTGTGTGTGTGTGTTTATGTCTTATATATATGTCAGATATATAAATATATGTGTATATATGTGTGTGTGTATATATATATATATATATTTATTTTTATTTTTGCCTGTCCTGGGGCTTCAACTCAGGGCCTGGGCACTGTTCCTGAGCTTCTTTTGCTCAAGGATAACACTTTACCACTTGAGCCACAGCATCACTTCTGGCTTTTTCTGTTTATGTGGTACTGAAGAATCAAACCCAGGGCTTCATGCATGCTAGGCAAGCATTGTACAACCAAGCCACATTCCCAGCTCCCTCTTTTAACCTCTTTTGCAAGTATGCAAACAGATGCAGAGAGGTTAAGTGATGAGGCCCACAGCCAACCGCTGGCCCTCATTGCAGCCCACAGGGTGGAGGATCCAACAGCCTCATTTCAGTTCTGTGTTTGGCTCATTATTTGTTCTGTGCATTTACTTGGTGCGTCATGACAAATGCGTCAGTATTGAGCCCTCAGAGGAGACATCAGATGTTGTTCTCTGCTTCTGGGGAGGGCGGTGGAGGAGGCTCCTACTGCTGGTGTCTGTTTACTCCATCTCAGGGCCTGTAGGGCTAACTTTGTGGAAGGCAGCGTAGCAGTTCAGCTAGGAGCCATGTGGGACAGCAGAGGTCAGAGGATACTTTGGATTTGCCAGCACCTGGCCACTGCCCAGCCTGCCCTCTGACCTCCATTCTAGGGAAGGTGGTGGCTCTAGAAGACTCTCCCCTCCCCTTTGGAGAAGCCTGTTTCTACTTTGAGACCTTTTTTGTTTGTTTTGTTTTTGTGTGTGTGCTGGTACTTAAACCCAGTTCTTAGGTGTGTTGTCCCTTAGTTTTGCTTGAGCCACAGTTCCACTTCTGGCTTTTTGGTAGTTTCCTAGAGATACAAGTCTCATGGACTTTCTTGCCCAGGCTGTCTTCTAGCCACCATCCTTAGATTTCAGTCTCCTGAGTAGTTAGGGATACTGCTCCCACTGGTGCCTGGTCCACATAGTTGGCATTCAATAGAAATCTGTGGAAGTTTGAATAAATTCCTGCTTGTTAGGGATTAGATGGACAGAAATTTAGTTTTTGTTTTCTATGAGTATTGTTTATTTCTGTTTTGTCCATTGCATCAACTGCATTTTAAGCTATAACATCCTAGAATAGAATAGTTATTCATTTATAGGTATATATTTTTTTCTTACCTTTGAGCAAGCTATATTCAAAGAATGCTTTATTTCAGTAGTAGAACTTCCTTTTTTAAATTGCAGAAAGACTTAAAGCTTAAATGTAGTAAGTTTCCAAAAAGTCATTTATTCACTCATTCGTTACTCATTCCTTTTGGTCTTCTACTATGTGCCTTTCATTGTAAACATTGCTTCCTGAGATTTAGAAAATTGAGTAGATGGGTAAAGGGTGATGAGTTTTTGTTTTGTCACCTGGGTTTGAATACATGGTCTTTTTTATCTTAGCCACTTGAGTAGCTAGTATTACAGCCATGTGCCATCAAACCTGGCCAGAGTTAATTTTAGTCAGTTTCTTTTTAAGTTTGTAAGTAACTTATGTTTTCTAGTTCTTACATTAATTTATATTACTTCTAGTAAAGTTCTAGGAAGGATCCTACTAAGATTTACTTCTATATTATTTGGCCTGTCAAATTTTTTGTTTGGTTGTTGTTGTTGTGTGTGTGTATGTGTGTGTGCGCGCACGCACACGGGCCAGTCCTGGGGCTTGAACTCAAGGCCCGGGTGCTGACTCTGAGCCTTTTTGTTCAAGGCTAACTCTCTACTACTTGAACCATTGTCTACTTTTGGCTTTTAGGTGATTAATTATAGGTAAGAGTCTCATAGATTTTTCTGCCTGTCTGTTTTCTACCCAGTCTGTCTTTGAACTGCAATCTTCAGATCTCAGCTTCCTGAGTGGCTAAGATTACTATTCTCATACTTGTTTCTGTTTCAAGCACGCATGCGTTACTTTACCCTTTAGCCTTACAGCAATAATATAAATATAGTATTGGAATAGTTGATAATCCTTAGATTAATATACAAGGAAAATGACATTGCTTATCTTTTTATAACTGTTTCTAGATAATTGTGGAAGAAAGCAGTTTTAAAGTACATCATCATACTGGTGGGTGTAGTGTTAACTTGAGTTAGGAAATTAGCTTCGTTTTCAATAGTTCTTTATTTTAAAAATGATGGAATGTTTTTTAAAAAGTTGCTTATATAATGTTTTATCTGCACACTTATCATTAATTACTGTATTAGAGGAGAACAGAAGACAGCATGTATGTGACTAAATAAATTTTTTCCAACTAGTGACTTTGTAACACACAGCAGACTGATACAGGGTACCTGTTCTCCTAAAATGTCACTTGTGCTAGATAGTGTTTTTTTCTTTAGCTGTAGTTTATACTGTCATTTGTATGTATTCATGAGTTTGTATTTTGGGGACTATAACCACTATAAAAAACAGTTTATTACTGAAAGAAAACAGTTCATTCTCATTGGATATCTGTTCATTTTTTTCTTGTATTTAGAAACAAAAAAACTATCAAGAATCTCTCCCGCTTGGTTGTCCGCCCCCATACAGATGCTGTTTACCATGCATGCTTTTCTGAGAATGGTCAGAGAATAGCTTCTTGTGGAGCTGATAAAACCTTACAGGTATGACATTTCTCTTAAGAAAAAACTCAGAGGCATGCATCTAATCCTTTGCATATTTAATATATTCAAATCCTCAAATTTAAGAATATTGCAATTTAGAAATAGAAAAATCTAAATTTGTTGAACATAAAGCTTTCTCAAGAGATTTTATTTTTTTTGTGGTCGGTTGTGGGGCTTGAACTCTGGTCCCAGGTACTGTCCTGAGCTCTTCAATTCAAGGCTAGCACTCTACCACTTGAGCCACAGCACCACTTCCGGTTTTCTAGTGGTTTATTGGAGATAAGAGTCTCATGGACTTTTCCTGCCTGGGCTGGCATTGAACTGTGATCCTCAGATCTCAGCCTCCTGAGTAACTAGGATTACAATTGTGATCCACCGGCACCCAGCTCTTGAGATTTTAAAGATAAGGTTACATACTTTTGTAATTCTGAACTTTTTAGGTGACAAAGAAGTGCTGGTTACCCTGAGAATCAGTCACCTGCCATATATTTGCCACTTAAGGCTAATGTGGAAATGGAAATTGTTAAAAGATACAAGGACCTAATCATAGTGAGTAGGACCCTGATGAAAAGAAGGAATCAAGTAAAGTAACTATTTATCTAAGGCTTAGATACAGATTTCAGTCTGTTAACAGGAATTGGAATAGCTTATTTTCAAAGATGTTTTAAGTAGTTTCCTCCAAGTTCTCATTTATTTTCAGAAAATAGGAATGAATATTTTTCTTTACATTTGTTCTCCAGAAGGAAATAGGATTGAATTAGCAAAAACTTTTTATATTTAAAATAATTTTAGTCTTTCCAAAGTTGTAATTGCATACCTTATTTATATAGTACTTGATTGGTAATCTTTTTGTTTTTTGTTTTTTTTGGGTCTAGTCGTAGGGCCTGAACTCTGGGCCTGGGCTGTCCCTCAGCTCTTCAGCTCAAGGCGAGCGCTCTACCACTTGAGCCACAGCACCACTTCCGGCTTTTTTCTTTTTGCTTATGTGGTGCTAAGGAATCGAACCCAGGGTTTCAGGCATGCAAGGCAAGCACTCTACCACTGAGCCACCTTCCCTGCCCATTGATTGGTAATCTTATTTTGGATTTTGATCTACAGAAAGAAAACGATGAATGAAATGCTTTTTATTTGATTGTGTTAATAATTTGCTATAATAATGTCAGGAGCTAAAGTTATGTTCTGCCACTTCTTATTGGTATTCACCAACATTTAACAATGATGGTTCTCTGGGGCTGGGAAGGTGGCTCAGTGGTAGAGCGCTTGCCTTGCATGCATGAGGCCCTGGGTTCGATTCCTCAGCACCATATAAGCAAAAAGAAAAAAGCCGGAAGTGGCGCTGTGGCTGAAGTGGTAGAGCGCTAGCCTTGAGCTGAAGAGCTGAGGGACAGCGCCCAGGCCCAGAGTTCAGGCTCCACAACCGGACCCAAAAAACAAAACAAAACAATGATGGTTCTCATGGGTAAAATATTTTAAAGAAATTTTTATTGAATGATGACTTATAATTATATGATTTATAGTAAAACATTTATTGCTTTTTCAGGTGTTCAAAGCTGAAACAGGAGAGAAACTTCTAGAAATCAAGGCTCATGAGGATGAAGTGCTTTGTTGTGCATTTTCTACAGATGACAAATTTATAGCAACCTGTTCAGTAGATAAAAAAGTGAAGGTAGGAAAACGTTTTCCTCTTGAGCTGAAATCATCACCATTGATTTTTTTTTTCATAAAAGATGAAAATAATTAGGGCTGAAGGACTCTTACCTGCTGATATAACTTGATTCATGGTAAATTAACATTTCCTGAAAAATTTTTTATTTCTAAGCACCAGCAAAAATGCTTAGATTGATCAGCCTGAGGTATTTATGAGGCAGGGGGTAAAACTAATTACAAATTAATGGGGGTTGGGGATTTACCCAGTGGAAGAGTGCTAGCAAGTGCAAGTTTGACATCAGCACCACACACACACAAAAAAGAATAATTATAAAGTAATGAATAGACTGGTCGGTCTGTGGATTAAATGTCAGTTGAAATCTTTGAATAAATTGTGATTAAAAGTTACACAAAATCATTGCCTGAGGTCAGATTCCTGATATAAAATATACCTTTTTTCTTTCTTGGTTGGTCCTGGTTCTGGGGTCTGAACTCAGTGTTTTGTACTTACTAGGCAGATGTTCTTCCTCTTAAACTTTTTACCGTTTTAGTTATTTTTCAGATAGTCTCCTATGTTGGTCCAAGTTGACCTTGGACTGAGCTCTTCTACACAGAGTCTTCTGTGTAGCTAATATAATAGATGTGAACCATCTACCTGGCTTGTTTGCTGAGATGGAGTCTCATTAACTTTTTGTCTAACCTTAAATTGTGATCCTCCCTATCTCCACTTCCCTCAACTTTTTTCTTTTTTAGCCTTTCTGAACTGGCCTATATGTTCAGTAAAAAATGAGTTTACTGGTATAAACAAGTGAAGAAACAATAAGAGCAGGTTTTTTTGTTGCTATTGTCAGTTGTGAGGCTTGAACTCTGGGCCTGGGTGCTGCCCCTTAGTTCTTCAGCTCAAGGTGAGCGCTCTACCATTTGAGCCACAGTACCACTTCTGTGGTTAATTGGAGATAAGAGTTTCACAGACTTTGAACCTCGATCCTCAGATCTCAGCCTCCTGAGAAGCTAGGGTTGAACCACCAGTACCTGGCTTTTTTTTTGTTTTAGTACATATTAATGGTCCAAAATGAAAGTTTTTTTTTTTATTTTTGTTAGATATAGGGCTTGAACTCAGGGCCTAGGCACTTTCCCTGAACTCTTTTGCTCAAGGCTAGTGTTCTACCACTTTGAGCCACTGTTCTCCTTACGGTTTCATGGTGGTTAATTGTGGATAAGAGTCTCACAGACTTTCCTGCCTGGACTGGCTTTGAACTGCAGTCCTCAGATCTCAGCTTCCTGAGTAGCAAGGCTTACAGGTTTGAGCCACTTGTGCCTGGCTCCAAAATACTAGCTTTCATTATGACATTTTTTTATTTTGTCGGCCGTGGGGCTTGAACTCTGGGCCTGGGTGCTGTCCCTCAGCTCTTCAGCTCAAGGTGAGCGCTCTACCACTTGAGCTACAGCACCACTTCCGGTTTTCTGGTGGTTTATTGGAGATAGGAGTCTCACGGTCTCTCCTGCCCGGGCTGGCTTTGAACCTCGATCCACAGATCTCAGCCTCCTGAGTAGCTAGGATTACAGGCGTGAGCCACCAGTGCCTGGCTCATTATGACATTTTAATACATGTGTGTAATGTACTTTGATCATAGTCTATGTCTCCCTCCATTATCTTGTCTTGTTCTGTCACCTCTCTCCAATTAGTCTTAATCTAAGAAGAGCAATTTTTGTCTTTATTAATTACTTTTTCTTGTGTCTTACCTCTAAGTTTGAGTCTTGGGAGATGTCTTATCACTGCTGTATGGGCAGAAGACTTCACTTCAGGCTTTTTTTTTCCCCCAAAGGAATTTTAGAGTACTGAATTTTGCTGGCTGGCCAAGATAGTTGGTTTGGGAATTTTCCTTGACTTTTCAGTTGCTTGCAAAGGACTATAGAATGTCCAGATTAAAACTGAGGCTTTGGAGCAGGGTGTCAGAGGCTCATGCCTGTAATCCTAGCTACTCAGGAGGCTGAGATCTGAGGATCGAGGTTCAAAGCCAGCCAGGCAGGAAAGTCTGTGAGACTCTTATTTCCAGTAAACCACTAGAAAACTGGAAGTGGTGCTATGGCTCAAGTGGTAGATCACTAACCAGAGCTGAAGAACTAAGAGACAATGCCCAGACCCAGAGTTCAAGCCCCACGACCAACCAAAAAAAAAAAACAAAAAACTGACGCTTTGGGAAAACCTGCTTTTAGTATATTAGACTCAGTGGCTTTATAGCCAACAGTTAATAATTCACTCTATAGCTTCTACTTTGAGTCATACTTGAAGTGCTGGGGACTTTCAAAGTTAGAGCTATGTGGAATAACAGTACTGAATTCCTGTTTCTTAGAGGTCAAAATATAAAATGAGAGGCTAAAAATTCATTTAAGAGCTTCAAAATAAAATAAACTCTTTGTGCAGCCATAATATTCAATGTACACCTCTTGAGAGGATTGGTGAGTTAGGTGATAAGAGGGATTATGTTGATCAGGATACATTGTACTTAAAAATTGACATGTTGAATTGAAACCTCTTTGTACAACTAACTAAAGACAATAAAAATAAATTATGAACCTCTGAGGGATTCTAATAAGTTCTTTATAAGAGGTAGATACAGAGGAATGGGGGGGCCTGGGAAGGTGGCTCAGTGGTAGAGTGCTTGCCTTGCATGCATGAGGCCCTGGGTTCGATTCTTCAGTACCACATAAGCAGAAAAAGCTGGAAGTGGCATTGTGGCTCAAATGGTAAAGCACTAGCCTTAAGCTGAAGAGCTGATAGACAGTGTCCAGGCCCAGAATTCAGGCCCCACAACTGACCAAAAAAACCCCCATAAACAACAACCACAAAAGTAAAAACAGAGGGAATGCTCTGGGAGGAAACATGAATACCTCTAAAAGGCCAGAGTTTACGGAAGGAATATGAATGGTGGAGGGGATGAATTTGATCAAAGTGTGCTGTGTGCGTGTATGGAAATTCTAGTGTGTTAACTCAAAAATATTTTTTTTCTTTTTTTTTGTTGGTTGTGGGACCTGAACTCTGGGCCTGGAAACTGTCCCTCAACTCTTTAGCTCAAGGGTAGTGCTCTGCCACTTGAGCCACAGTGCCACTTCCAGATTTTTCTGCTTATGCGGTGCTGAGGAATTGAACCCAGGGCCTAATGCATGCAAAGCAAACACTCTACCACTGAGTTACCTTCCTAGCCCAAAAATATATGTATATATTTTTTTGTTGGTTGTGGGGCTTGAACTCTGGGCTTGGGTGCTGACTCTCAGCACTTCTGCTCAAGGCTAATACTCTACCATTTGAGCCACAGCACCACTTCTGGTTTTCTGAGTGGTTTATTGGAGATAAGAGTCCCATGGACTTTTGTGCAGGGCTAGCTTTGAACTGAGATCCTCAGATCTCAGCCTCCTGAGTAGCTAGAATTATAGGCATGAGCCACCGGCGCTCCGCCCAAAAATAAATACTTTTAAATAAAAATCCAAATTCTAGTAGAGATTTATCAGATAATTTTGTCATATGCAACAGACTTTTTGCTTTTCTTACATATTAACAGAATGATAATTATTTTTAACTGTGAAAGATTTTATACTACCAGCTTATTTGTGTTATATTATCAGTTTCTCACTACAATTTGCAAAGTAAATAAGTATTGATGCCATTTTGCAGATTGGGAAAACCAATTCAGAGATGAAGGCACTTGGTTTTGCTCACATTAAATAATAATAATAAGGCTGCTAACTAGTTTTCTTTTGAACTTTTTTTTCCTTATTGAACTATCTTTTTTTACTTTTTTCTTCCTTTCTTTTGTTTTTATGGGCTTTGTGCAGTCTAGTAGACAATTACTCTACCACCCATGTGGTACCATGGGCTCTACGTGCACCATGTTCATTACCTCATTTGACATATTGAGTTTTGTAGGACAGGTACAGTGTTTCGATTTTTTAGAGGAGAGAACTGGCATGCAGGAAAGCTAAGGCTCAGTGGAGGATACACAGATCATAGGTGGTAGAGTTGTGTTTTAGGCTTCACCAGATCTGAAGTCCATGATGTGATTCTCTTATAGGACTTCTTCACTGCTGTCTTTCACTACAAATGGGAAATGAGCATTATCATGCAATGCTATTTGTGCTAAGGAGAAGATATGTGCGGATTTCGCAGTAACCTATAAAACTTGAAGCAGAATATTGCTGTATTTTGAGAAAGGGGAGATTAGTATCATATTGGATGAAAAAAAATCTTTTATAACAAGATAGATAGCATCTACAAAGTGATTTATATTTGCCTTTCTTCCTGTTATCGCTTTGAGAATAATGAATTATTATAAACTTTTATTTTCTTTGTTCTCTTTAGATTTGGAATTCTGTGACTGGGCAACTAGTACATACCTATGATGAGCACTCAGAGCAAGTCAACTGCTGCCATTTCACTAACAGCAGTACTCACCTTCTCCTTGCCACTGGGTCAAGTGACTTCTTCCTCAAAGTAAGTGTGAATATTGAAAATTAGGTGTTTGTGTTCCCCCTGCCTTGTGCTTAGGGATTACATTTAGGACTTTGTTAATGCTAAGCAAATACTGTAGTACTGATCTGTATCCCCAGCCCCTTGATAGGGCTTTTTTCCCCCTATTGTTGTCACAGTAATAGAAACTTCTATATTTACTTAAACAACAGCAACAACAAAGAGATAATATTAGTGCGTACTGATTCTAGGTGCTTCAGTTATGGTCTTAAGCTCTAAGTTCTTCTCCATTTCTAGGTTCGCCTTCCCTCTCAGTTGTTCAGTGATGCTATCCTGAGTGACTGGAAATGTGATTGCCCTCAGCTCAGGTTTTCTTGGGTTTTGTAGCTCCTTATTACAGAAATAGAGAAACATGCCCTTTCCCCAATCCTATAAATCTAATATTAGAGAAGATGCTAATTCATCTCATTTAACTTATGATCATTGCTTTCTAATCCCAGTGACCAGTAGAATGGAATCCTTGGATTGTTTAAGGTCACAAGTTTAACCATGTAATGATAGGGAAAAAGAGGTAGAGTCAGTTCTATTTGTATCATAACTATAGCATGATTCAAAAAATAGTTCTTGCCCGGTGTCAGAGGCTAATGACTCTTACATAATCTCAGTTACTCAGAGGCTGAGGATCTGAGGATCACAGGTTGAAGCCAGCCCAGGCAGGAATGTCAGTGAGATTCTTATCTCCAGTTAGCCACCAAGAAGACAGAAGTGGAGCTGTGGCTCAAGTGGTAGAGTGTTAGCCTTGAGCAAAAAAATGCTCAGGGACAGTGCCCAGGCCCTGAGTTCCAGCTCCAAGACCTACACACTGGAATGGGGAATTAAATACCCTTGAACAGATCTTTTTATTTTATTTTTTATTTTTTTTGATCCGGTGGTGGGCCCTGAACTCTGGGCCTGGGCACTGTCCCTCAGCTCTTCAGCTCAAGGCTAGTGCTCTACCACTTGAGCCACATGCCACTTCTGGCTTTTTTCTTTTTGCTTATGTGGTGCTGAGGAATCGAACCCAGGGCCTCAGGCATGCAAGGCAAGCGCTCTACCACTGAGCCACCTTCCCAGCCCCTCTACTGGCTTTTTTTTGGTACTTAATTGGAGGTAAGAGTCAGATAAACTTGAGTAGCTAGGATTATAGGCATTATAATTATATAGTATATAAATATATATAAACTATAACTATAATATTATATAATTATATATTATAGTGCTAGTAACATTTACACTTGAATATAGAAATCAAAACCTGTCCCAAACAAATAAAGACTTTTTAAGGTTTCTCTTTAGGTTTATAGAGATCTTAGTTGAATTTGAAGTGACATAGCAAGAGTTTATCATCTTTAAATATGTTTAATAAAGGCTAAAATATGCATCGTGTGATAGAAAAAGATTCCATAGGGGGAATGTTGCATCCAACTATATATATAGTTTATAGATTATATAGTACTAAAATAGGATTATAGCTCCTGATACCGAGCTGTGTGATTTTGATAACAAAAATCATGGAACAATTGATTATCACTGTGACTAATCAATATAGCAATATAGTAACTTTCCCCCCTTTTTCAAACACTTTTCTCTGAATTTAATAACTTTTGTTTTTCCATCTGTTTAGTGTTTTTCTTTTTTGTTGTTTGTTCATTTGTTTTGGCATCGATACCAGGGCTTGAACTCAGGACCTCATATACTATCTTAGGTTTCAGGCTCATGGCTAGTACCTATTGTTTGGGCCATGCCTATAGTCCAGTATTTGTGTTTTCTTTTCTTTTTTTTTTTAATTTTTTATTGTAAAGATACTATACAGAGGGTTACAGTTACATGAGTTAGGTAATGAGTACACTTCTTATTGAGCATTATTACTCCTTCCATTGTTTTCCCCCTACCATCCAGCATTTGTGTTTTCAACGCTAAAAATAAAAGTGTACTACCTAACTTAAGTTATTCAGAATCAAGTGAGAGAAGAGGGTAAGTGAATAGATGAACCATAAAATGACAAAATTCTATACAGAGTTTTTTTTTTTTTTGCTTTGCTTTTAAGGAGACAGGGTCTCACTATATTATTGGCCAGGATGGCCTGAAACTCCTTGATTCAAATGATCCTCCTGTACTCTCCTAAGTGGCCGGGACCACAGCTGCATACAGCTGCACTCAGCCACATAGAGGGTGTTTTGAGAGCAGATGAGGACTTTTTTACCTGATGCTACAGATAAGGAACTCAGGTAACTTATGTTATAATCAGATTTTGTTTTCCTCTTTTGTTAAATTTCCTTTCAATTTTGCACTTTATACTGATTCCAGAGCTTATAGCCTTGGACATTCCTTGTCCCCCCTTTTTTTTTTTGTCGATCATGGGGCTTGAACTCTGGGCCTGGGCGCTGTCCCTCAGCTCTTCAGCTCAAGGCGAGCACTCTCTTTTTGATGTTAAGATTCTTTGTATGAAAAGGTGGCATGAAGTAGACTACTGTGCAGGAATAGAGTAAGGTGGCTGTCTCCTTCACAAAGCGTTCTCCAAGCTGTCTGCTTGGATGCAACATTCCCCCTTTGGGATCTTTTTCTATCACACGATGCATATTTTAGCCTTTATTGAACATATTTAAAGATGATAAACTCTTGCTATGTCACTTCAAATTAAACTAAGATCTCTATAAACCAAGAGAGAAACCTTAAAAAGTCTTTATTTGTTTGGGACGTGTTTTGATTTCTATATTCAAGTGTGAGTGTCACTAGCAGCAGGGACAGACATTTCTTTTTTTTTGTGGGGGGGTCCGGTCGTGGGGCCTGAACTCTGAGCCTGGGCACTGTCCCTCAGCTCTTCAGCTAAAGGCTAGTGCTCTACCACTTGAGCCACAGCGCCACTTCCAGCTTTTTTTTTGCTTATGTGGTGCTGAGGCATCGAACCCAGGGCCTCATGCATGCAAGGCAAGCACTCTACCACTGAGCCACCTTCCCAGCCCCAGGGACAGACATTTCTACATCCTTGAGAGCCTAGATTATGTTGGCTTTCCCACAGTGCTATGATGCTAGTATCTCTGGTTTGCACTGACACATGACATGTAGTAAGCAGAAGTCCTACAAAATAATGTTAGATAATAGCATCTCGAGGTCAAAATCTTCTAAAGCTTTACCATCTGAGAGGATGAGGACTGTAAAATTATTTTCTGCCCCAATAGCTCTGTAATTTTCTAAGCATTTTGTATGACATCATATTGATAAGGATCTGTCTTTGATGGTAATTATTTCTAAAATGTGAGTTTTCTGTAAATTGTCATTTAAAGTATGCAAGGGCACAGGGACTCTAGATACAGTACAATGATCTGCACAAAATGAAATGTTGGCATAGTTTATACTATTACTTAATATGAGAGATTTTATCACTGCTTGGCTAGTTGCTAAAGTACAGTCCAGTCTGATGTAGGCTGGTGTAATGAAATTAGATTGTTAGCTTTCTTTACCTGTCTTAAATCCAAGTACTGTGGTTTAATTTTTCCTATTGATAGGGAAACAGGTATGATTTCTCATATATTCTGGGTGATATGATTGAATTCTGGGTGATAAGGCACTTATGTTTTGTTTTGTTTTTCTCTTTAGTATCTGGGGAGGTTCTTTTTTGTTGTTTTTGTTGCCACAGGTCTACTTCTAGCTTTTTTGGGGGGTAGTTAATTGGATTTAAGAGTCTGTGGGCCTGCCTGTAATCCTAGCTACTCAGGAGACAGATCTGAGGATTATGGCTAGAAGCTAGCTTGGGCAGGAAAGTTCTTGAGACTCTTATCTCCAGACTGGGAATGTGGTTTAGTGGTAGAGTGCTTGCTTAACATCCATGGAGCCCTGGGTTTCATTCCTCAGTACCACATAAACAGAAAAAGCTGGAAGTGGTGCTGTAGTTCAAGTGATAGAGTGCTAGCCTTGAGCAAAAGAAGCTAAGAGATAGTGTCCAGGCCTTGAGTTCAAGCCCTAGGCCCTGAGTTCAAGCCTCAGGACTTCCCCCCACAAAAAAACCCCGATAAAATGATGACTTTTATCTCCAGTTAACCAGTTAACCACCAGAAACAGGAAGTGGTGCTGTGGTTCAAAGTGGTATAGCACTAACCTTGAGTGCAAAAGCTGAGACAGCACTCAGGCCTGGAGTTAGAAAAGAAGAATCTTACAGGCTTTCCTCTCCGGGCTGGCTTTGAACCTAGATCCTTAGATCTCAGTCTCCTGAGTAGCTAAGACTTACAGGCATGAGCCCTGACCTTGGGCTGTTTTATTGTCTGTGATCTCTTACTTTATTTAGTTTATCCACATTTGTTGCATGGGAGAAAGTTTAGTTTTTCTTCCAGGTTTCATAGAACATAAAAAATTTCTCTCAATGTAAAGAATTAAAAGCCAGGTGGATGGTGCATGCTACCTGCAAGGCAGAGATAGGAGGACCTGGAATTTAAGACCGGTCTAGAAAAACAAAGAAAATGAATTCAAATAGTTTAGGGATGTGTAGCTCAAGTGGTAGAATGCTTGATGCTCTGGGTTAAGTACTGCCTAAAATAGATGAATGAATGATGTACCTGACTGGGCAAGTCAGATTTTACCTGGGAGCTATGCTTTGGAAACTAAGTTAAAGCTTGAGAAGCAAGTTGTTTTTTCCCCCTTCTTTTCCTCCTTGCCTAACTCTTGGTTTGGCCATGGTAGCCATTATCATTGTTATACTCATTGAGTTCTGGGAGAATAAAGATGTTTTTCTCTTTGAGACACTCCAGCCTCATGTGTATCTTTATGAAGCCCTGTTTTTTGAATTATTCAAGTAGGTCTATTTAGAATGAAGTTAGTGTTTTGTACCCCATTTTCAAAAACCAGTTAATTTCATAGCACTACTTAGCCCCACCAAGCATACAAGGAGCTTGCTTCCTTTCAGCATACCTGCTTTCAGTTTTAAGGACTATATTCTCTAGCAGCTCTGCTGGGTTATAATGTGGCTTGGATGGGACCTGTGTACGCTTCCAGCTGTGTATATAGTTCATGTGGAGCACACTTTGTGCATGGCCCAGCAGAGGGCAGCAGCAGCAAGTGGACTCTTCATCTCCTCTTTCTTACCCACTCAGACTTACTGTCAACACCTAATCTTACCCTCCTCCATACCATACGAGACTCTGTTAACTTTTTATCTAATTTTACATTCTGGCTTCTACATTTTGGGTAGTGCTTCTAATTTTTTACTTTTAGGAAGATGCTGAATGAACCGGAAGTACTTATTTTAAAAGACATATAATCTTGCATGGGTTAAAAAGACTTCATTAATCTATTGAGATTCTGGAGATCTGAGTTAAGAGTAAAACAGAATTTTTGTTAAAAATTCTTTTTTTTTTTTTAATTTGAAGCTGTGGGATGTGAGATCAGCAAATGAGAGGAAAAACATTAATGTGAAACAATTCTTCCTAAATTCAGAAGAGTCTCAAGAAGATATGGAAGTCATAGTGAAATGTTGTTCGTGGTCTGCTGATGGTGATAGGATAATGGTTGCAGCAAAAAACAGAATCCTTGTAAGTATTAGAATTTACAGCAAATTTAGTCTGATATAAAGAAAATGAAAACTTCTAATAATGTTTGCATTTTCCACTGTTTTCTGACACTATAAAGTCTAGCTGTGTGATCTGGGAGACAGGATTTCCAGAATGCAGTTCTTCAAGCATACTCTAGGGGATGTGGAAAGCCTGTGCGTGAAAGACACAGATCAGGGAAGCAGCTTGTTCTGCTTTCTCTGTGAAAGGTACACAGCAAAAGCCACATTTAACAACCTGGGTAGTCCTGCAGTACAATTGATGAGGTTGAGTCAGCGTTCCTCCAGTTACTTAAAACGTGAATACTTTCTGTATCACTCTTTAATTTTTTTATTCTATTTTTATTTATTTACTCCTATTATAAAGATGATGAAAGGGGGGTTATAAGTTACATAAATTAGGTAAAGAGTACTTTTTTTTGGTTTTGTTTTGTTTTGCTATATCTGGGGTTTAAACTCAGAGCCTGGGTGCTGCTGCCTCTGAGCTTCTTTGTGTTCAAGGCTAGTGCTATATCACTTGAGCCACAGCAGCATTTATGGCTTTTTCTGAGTAGTTTATTGGAGATAAGTTTCTTACAGACTTTCCTGCCTGGGCTGGCTTTGAACCACAATCCTCCATATCTCAGCTTCCTGAGTAGCTGGGATTTCAGGTGTGATCCACTGGTGCCTGGCTAAGAGTACATTTCTTTTTGGACAATATCACTCCTTCCCTCACTCCCAGTTTTTTCTCCCATCCCTACCCGTAAGTTGTATAGTTCATTTCCTAGTAAATACCACTGCTACATTTGTTTACCCTTTGACCCTCCATTTCCATGCCCCCCCTTAAATGAATAAACAAGACAAAAAGAAAAACAAAAATAACAACAAAGAAAAAAATTTTCATTTCCTGGAGTTCATTTTGATAAATGTTATTTTATATGATCAAAGTCACATAGTTATTGTGCCTTTGTCTTTCTCCCCTAAGAATACCTTACTGTGTGTGAATGCCTACAGTCCAATATGATTTATCATGCCCTGGTATATTTTAGCTGTAGCTTCTGCATATGAGAGAAAACATGTATCATTTGTCTTTCTAGGATTGACTTACATCATTGCATTACTCTTTCTGGAACTGATTTCAAATACATTTACTTTAGTGATTTTTCAAAGTACTTTTAAATCCCTAAGGTTTTATATAGTACGATGACTCTAATAGAGATAAAGACTCATTAACAATTGAACCAGGTTGTGATGTTTTCAAAAAGGAATGAAAAAGGTATGGGAAAAATGTGAGTAAGAAGAATATGTCTTCCTCCTTTTTCCCCCCACCGCTTGTACCAGGGATTGAACTCAGGATTTTTACGGCACCATTTATGTTAGGTTTTTAAAAAGAGGTAGCCGAGTAAGAACTGCACCATGCACGTGGTATTCAGGTAAGGGGTAGGTTTATTCAGTATACCTGATGGGACCAGGCAAGGTTGGCACTCGACGTGGCTGGGAAAGGCCTGGGAATGAGAGAGAGCTGGGAAAGAGAGGAAAGAGAGAGGAAAGAGCTAGAAAAGAGCAGAGAGAGGGGTAAGAACAGTAGCACTCACGTGGTATCCAGGTAAGGGGTAGGTTTATTCAGTAGACCTGATGGGACCAGGCAAGGTTGGCAGTCCACGTGGCTGGGAAAGAGAGGAAAGAGCTAGAGCAGAGAAAGAAAAGAAGAGCAAGAGCAAGAGCTGAACTCAGGATTTTATACTAGTTAGACAAGTGTTTTACTACTGGAGCGTCCTCTCCAGTCCTTCTTTTCTTTCTTTCTTCCTTCCTTCCTTCCTCCCCCCATTTTTCTCTCTCTCTTTCTCTCTCCTTCCCTCCCTCCCTCCCTCCCTCCCTCTCTCCCTTTTTCTCTTTTCTCTCTCTCTTTCTCTTTCTCTCTTTCTTCCTTTCTTTCTCTCCTGTGTGTGTGTTGGTCATGAGGATTGAACTGAGGGCCTGAGATCTATCCCTAAGCTTTTTTTTTACTCAAGGTGAGTGCTCTATCATTTCAGCACAGTGCCACTTCTGTTTTTCTGGAGGTTAATTGGAGATAAGAGTTTTGCAGGCCTTCCTGCCTGGGTTGGCTTCAAACCACAGTCCTCAGATCTTAGTCTTCTATAGTTAGGATTATAGAAGTATAGCTATTCCTTTCATTTTTTTGTCTTAAGCATCATTTTTTTTCTCTGGCTGGCCTTGAGCTGGTACCTCAGCCCCTGGTAACCTATAACATAACTTATGAATTTACATATACTGGGTATTTCATACAAGTGGTCCATTTATGTCTTCATTTCATTGCACATAGAATTTTCAAGGTCCATCCATGTTGTAGCATGTATCTGAACTGCATTTCTCTTTGCGATAGAATAGTATCCTATCATGGCATGTGTTTGTGTGTATCACATTTTATTTATTCACTCATTTGTGTGTGGATTCTTGACTTATTTCTACCTTTTGGCTATTATGAATAATACTGCAATGAACACTGGTATATAAGTATCTGTTTGAGTTCCTGCTTTTAATGTTTTTAATACTTATGAGTAGAACTGATGAGTCATGTGGTAATTCTGTATTTAGCATTTTAAAGAACTATTAGACTTTCCCCATAGTACCTGAACTATTTTACATTCCTACAAGCAATGAATGTATAAGGATTCCAAATCCACTGTTTTTTTTTTGTTGTTTGGTTTTTTTGTCGGGTGGGACTTGAACTCTGGGCTTGGGCTCTATCCCTCAGCTTTTCAGCTCAAGGAGCTTGAGCCACAGAGTCTCACAGACTTTTGTGCCTGGGCTGGCTTTGAACTGTGATCCTCAGATCTCAGCCTCCTGAGTAGTTAGGATTACAGGTGTGAGTCACCGGGCGCCTGACCAAATTCACTGTTTTTTTTTTTTTAATTGTGAAAATACTGTACAGAGGGGTTACAATTACATGGGCAAGACAATAAGTACATTTCTCATCAAGCATTGTAGCCTCCTCCTTTGTTTCCCCTTCCCATCCCATCCCCCCCAACCCTCTACCCCCCCCACCAAAGTTGTAAAGTTCGTTTTTGACATAACGACTTGTACGTCTCATTGTTGCAATGAGTCCACCTGTATCCCTATTTAAACAATTTGTTTTTGCCCTTCCCTTCCACTGTGTTTTTGATAACACTTGTTATTTTCCATTTTCAAAATTATATCCAGCCTATGTAGGAAGTGGTATTTCATTGTGGTTTAATTGTTTTCTAATGATCAGTGATGTTGAGGAAAAGCTTGCTGGGTTGCTTGCTAGGTTGCTTGCTTCCCTCACTCCTTACAGTTTTGGGATTTTTAATCAGTGCCTGTGCTTTTGAGGGAAAGAATTTTATTTTTTCTTTTTTTGGTCTTGGGAGCTTGAACTCAAGGTCTGGGTGCTGTCCCTGAGCTTTTTTGCTCAAGGCTAGCATTCTGTTACTTGAGCCACAGCTCCCCTTCTGGGTTTTTGGTGGTTAATTGGATTTAAGAGTCTCTCAGACTTTCCTGCTTGGGCTGGCTTTGAATGGTGATCCTCCAGAGTAGATAGGATTATAGGTGTGAACACTGGAATCTGGCTAAGGAAAGTTTTTTTTTCTTTGGTCATGGGGTTTGAACTCTGAACCTGAACGGCTGTCCCTCAGCTCTTCAGCTCAAGGCTAGCACTCTACCAGTTGAGCCACAACACCACTTCTGGTTTTCTGGTGGTTAATTGGAGTTTCAAGGACTTTCCTGTTTGGACTGGCTTTGAACTGCAATCTTCAGATCTCAGCCTCCTGAATAGCTAGGATTACAGGCTGAGCTACCAGCACCCAGCAAGAAATGTTTTTTTTTTTTAAAGATTAAAAAAAAATCTGTTCTAGTGAAAAAGGAATATAACTTTTATATGTATTTGTAAAATATAAATTATATATATTTATATATGTAGGGAATGCCTCATTATTTTAAAAACCTATAAGCTAGCTCCCTATTTCGCATGCTGGAATAAAACTGCCGTACAATAATCATAATTTCATGTAGATCCTAGTTTCTTACTCTGGTTTTTCCTTCTTCACTTTTGTTTCTCTCCCTACTTTAGTATTGCTTGTTTTTTCCTATTGTTACATCTTTTCTCTTTTGCTACTTCAGGATGGGGATAACTTCATATTCCACATTTGCCAGATTTTTTTCATTCCCTCTTAGCACCTGCTTTATAAGAATACCTGCACCAGCAAACATCCAATATGATTTCCTGATCTTTGTTGTTTCCTCCACTGCTGTGCTCCTTTATCATCCACTTTGTCTCTTCGTAGCTCCCACTTGGAGTCTTTATTTTCTTCTTGAGGATTGTGCCAAGTGCTAAACAGCTAGACTGTATCAATATACTGTATGCACATACATACTTCACTGTTTTGTTTTGTCTTGTCGGTCGTGGGACCTGAACTCTAGGCCTGGGCGCTGTCCTTCAACTCTTCAGTTCAAGGCTAGCGCTCTACCATTTGAGCCACAGTGCCACCTCCAACTTTTTCTGAACCCAGGGCCTCATGTATGCAAGGCAAACACTCTACCACTGAGCCACTGTCCGAGCCCTCCCACATCATTTTGTCATTTGGGAAAAAAAAAAAACTGCAGAACATATTAAAACCTTCCAAATATTGAAGAAGGTGTATTACTGAAAAAAAAGTTAGGTTTTTATTGGCTCAAAATTGAGAAAATGATTAATCATAATGGAATAATTTGGTGCCCCTGCAATGAAATAGAAATAATTGAGTTAATTTAATTTTAGCAAGCTTTTCTCTATATTATTTTGATCATCTTCATTTATGAAGGTTCATTTTCTCTTTTGAATAAACAATCATTTGGTAGAACTGCTCTGTATATTAATTTGGCTAGTCCATTCATTTATTCACAAAGATTTTATTTCTCTCTAGGCCAGCTTGAGAGAAAATTTGTGATGAATTTTCCTTTGTATAAAATATGTGTCAGGGGCTGGGAAGTTGGCTCAGTGGTAAAGTGCTTGCCTTGCATGCATGAGGCCCTGGGTTCGATTCCTCAGCACCACATAAGCAGAAAAAGCCAGAAGTGGTACTGTGGCTCAAGTGGTAGAGCGCTAGCCTTGAGCTAAAGAGCTCAGGGACAGCACCCAGGCTGAGTTCAGACCCATGACTAGAAAAAAAAAAGTGTCAAATAAGTCATATTATAGAAGCATATGGAATTATATCTTATTTATGATTATCAATAATATACTCCATTTATGAGTAATGATGGTAGTTTTTTTGTTGTTGTTGTTGGTCATGGGGCTTGAACTCTAGGCCTGGGCACTGTCCCTCAGCTTTTCAGCTCAAGGCGAGTACTCTACCACTTTAGCCACAAGCGCCACTTCCAGTTTTCTGGTGGTTAATTGAAGATAAGAGTCTCATGGACTTCCCTGCCCAGGCTGGCTTTGAACCATGATCCTCAGATCTCAGCCTCCTGAGTAACTAGGATTACAGGCGCAAGCCACTGATGCCTGGCTAATGATGGTAGTTTTGTAGGACTTACATTTTATGTTTGATTTGAGGCATTAAAAAAATAAATTTAGATTCAATTTGCTTCTAGCTGATCCTTTAAAAATGGTTTTCTTTATAAATAGTTGTACAAAAGGGCTTCAACTTAACATTTCAATTTATTAATTATTTTATTATCCTTAAGTAATTATTATATGAAAGGGTTTGATCAGCGTGTGAGTACAGTGCATCTTGGTCAATAGGCCCCTTTTCATCATTCTTCCCCATCTCTCCCAGCCCCACTCATCTCTTCAGTGTACCTTGTTGCATTGTCACATATGTACATTGAATATGTGTGAAAATGAAGCCAGGTAAATTGAGAGGATGAGCGTTCTTCACCCTCCCTCTCTCTATTCATCTGTCTACCCTCTCTTTGAACTTCCCCCTTCTCCCACAAAACATGTTCCAGCTTCCTGGTTTTCATTTAAATATGTCAATTTATGTGTACAAAGCATCTTAATCCATCACTATTTTCATCTCCTCCTTCCAGTGTTTCTTTAATAATTCTATTTTGTTTACTATTGGGGACAGACTCTTCCCTCAAGGAATGGCATAGACTCAGATAAATTAAAAATGCTTATGCCAGTCAATGTGTGCTTTTAGTTTTCCTAATACTGTTACTTTTTGTGTGTCTGTGGGTCAGTAGTGGGGCTTGAACTCAGGGCCTGGATGCTGTCCCTTGGCTTTTCTGCTCAAGGCTAACACTTTATTACTTGAGCCACTGCTCTACTTCTGGCTTTTTGGTGGTTAATTGGAGCTAAGAATCCCATAAACTTTCCTGTCAGGTCTGGCTTCAAACCTTGATCATCAAATGTCAGCCTCCTGGGTAGCTAAGGTTATAGGTATGAGCCACGGGTGCACAGCTTTCAGTATTTTCTTTTTATTGGCTTTGGCTTATGTGTTAAAATATTTTACCTTTATACATATCTCTATTTATGTTGACAGGTTTTTGACATGCATACCAATTGTATATCGGCAAAAATCCATACAGGCCATCACAGCACCATTCAGTACTGTGACTTCTCCCCTCAGAACCATTTAGCAGTGGTGGCCCTGTCCCAGTACTGTGTGGAGGTGAGTAGTTGAATTTCTTCAGTAAGTTTGGGTCTCCAGATATCCAAGGATAATAGGGAATAAGATGCTTGCTTGAGAAATTATACAGTATTTTCTTCATATATTAATGACCTGTAGCCTTGTGATACTAAACTGTATAGCCATTTTTATTATCTTAGCAGTGATTGAAGACTTGATTTAGCAGTATGACAGAAAATGAAAGTGCCATTCACCCAAGCTTGTCTAGAGTGTTCATGGGCTGGGAAAACAGTGTGATGACCACAGGTTTCCTAAGCTAAAATATAGCATCTCTTGAACAGTATAGGTATGGGCACTGTTCAAAATGAAATGTACTCATTACATGACTTATGTAACTGGAACCCCTCTGTACAACACTTTTTAATAACAGTTAAAAAAAAGAAAAGAAATGATGAGCTGGTTCACCTCTGTAATCCTAGGCACTCAGAGGCTGAGATCTGAGGATCGAGATTCAAAGCTAGACCTGCAGGAAAGTCTGTGAGACTCGTATCTCCAATTAACCAAGCAAAAAAGCCAAAAGTGGAACTATGATTCAAGTGGTGTTCTTGGGCAAAAAAGTTCAGGCCCTGAGTACAAGTTCCAGGACTGGATAAGAAAAAATAAAAAGTTAAGTGTTGAGTTCAGATTCAAGATGGAAGTTAGATTTCAAATTGGTTAACATCATACTGTCATTACCAAGCACTAGAAAATTAAATGGCTCCAGTTTATTTCTGGTTTATAACTTTGTGCTTATCTAATCAACTTTATATTTAGAGTTTATATCTAACTAGCCCTGAAATAAATCTACCTAAGGAGTTGGTATTTAAACTTTACAGAAGGCAATGGATTGTATCTTTCCTTCAAAGATAGATACATTTCCCCACACTTGGTTCCTCAGGGCCATCTGAGCAGCAAGTAGCTTGAGGCTGATTGAGATTGACCTTCTGAGGAAAGGGGTCTGGTTCTTTATCTGCAGAGCAGATAACTGACTTGGTTCACTGGCTTCCCTTGCTGTTGCAAGCACTTCTTCATTGTTACGTGCTATTCCAACAGTTTTTTTTTTTTTGTTGGTTGTGGGGTTTGAACTCTGGGCCTGGGCGCTGTCCCTCAGCTCTCCAGCTCAAGGAGAGCACTCTACCACTTGAGCTACAGCGCCACTTCCGGTTTTCTGGTGGTTTCTTGGAGATAGGAGTCTCACGGTCTTTCCTGCCCGGGCTGGCTTTGAACCGCGATCCTCAGATCTCAGCCTCCTGAGTAGCTAGGATTACAGGCGTGAGCCACCAGCGCCCGGCTTATTCCAACAGTTTTTAAGAGCGTTTGCCAGCCTTACCCTTGAGTAGCTGTTCAGTGCGGAAGTAACAGATTGAGAGTTGGTAGTAAACTCTGTAGGCTCTTCCTCCTAATTCTTAGGGACAGAAGTACAAGTAGGCTGAAGGCTTTCCATGCTGAGAACCTTTCTGTTGTAAGCAGAGGCAAGTGAGTTAAAGAACACCAGTCCCCTCAATACAGTGTGAAGAAGTAGGGTGTGGGGGGCAGTGTTCTCTTGGGCAGAAACCTTGAACCAGAAGGTTTAGCTCTGCTAGGGCACCTTGAATTTACCTGTAGATTCTCAAAGAAGATGTGATTGGTGTTTCCCCTCTGGGTTTTGTCAGAATTTTTGACAGTTTTTCTGAGCCCTTTTAAGGTTCTTACCCTCTATTATCCTTAGCTCTATGAACTGTCTTCCTTCTTGAAATGTAGGTACTTGGCTTTGGAGGCTCAGAAAACAAGGATGGAATAGAGAAGAATTCTCAAGGGAGATTTTTCAGTTGTGTAATAATTTTCATTTCTGGCCTGTAGCTCCATATATCCCAGCATGGACTCTAGAGATACGGCAGAGGAAATTTCATATGATTATTTTGTAACCATAGCATTCACTGAATGAAAACTATTGGACATGTGATGAAGTACTTGTTTTGTCTGTGTTCGTTCTGAAATCATAAAGTAGGTCTGTAATTCAAAGTGTAATGAGAAGAGCCCAGGCACACATGATACTTCATTAGACTGGAATATATTTAAGTAATGTAAAGCAGAACTCAGGACAAAATACAGCCAGACTGGTGGGAGACATCGGCAATTTGTAATGAGCACAAATAACAAGAGAAGTGTGTACATGCTACCATTAATGCATTCATTTATTGTAGGATTTTGCAGTCAGTTCAAATGAAAGTTAGATGATAGAAGTAGTGAAGTCTTTTTTTTTGGGTCCAGTCGTGGGGCCTGAACTCTGGGCCT